TTCCTGCCTATCCCATCTAAATTTGTTCCCAGCTCTTTACTTAAATAAAGCATAATATGTTCCTGGGAACATTCCACGTTGTTAAACTCATTCCATGAATTTTTTAAGAATGCTGTGTGTGTTTTCTAACACACCACTCAGTAACATAGTAGAGATAACAGGTGACAAGACAAGAGGCACCAGCACATTGTTGGATCAAGAGTCCGCCTTGGGATACTGTGACAGACGTATATTTCTGACACGTCTCAACAGTGACTGGGAGGCGCAGGAAAAACCATGTGATTTGGCATTATTTTTGAGAAACCCCCACTCCCCCCAGTAATAGTACTCTGTCATTCCCCAGCCCTCAGTGGAATGGCTTTGACAGAAAGACAGAAGAGATGTGACCTGAAACAAGACGCTGTTTGATCATTGCCGTAACACTTTCATTCTGTCACAAAGATCTATGCAAAATCACTAAATATTAAAAAAGTTTTCAGTAATATTAAAGTGGAAATAAGCTCACTGATGCCAATGCATTATACATCAATACCTCTGACAAAACACATTTTGTTACTGAACTGACGATCCAACAGAAGAAAGAGAAAGTATGATGAGTCTTCAGAGGGGTACAACCTAGGCCACTGAGACATTTAATGCATGTGTGTTTTATGGACAAAAAGGGACAACCTTCTTTTAATAAAATTTTTCTGCAGAAACTAACCACAAGACCTTCAGCTAAAACAAAAGTACTCCTTTCTATCTTCGATTGATTTAATTATTTTTTCAAAAACAAAACAGAGTCTGTAGCACAGTTGGTTAAGAATGATCAAAATTAATATACACATTGTGAGCTACAAATCCATGATTGAAAATGACAAGGCTTGAAAGTATATAAGTGCTGAATGAAAGCATTCTGAACACATTACTTATCTTAATACCATGTAATAACAACGCAAGTGTGGATATAATCTGAATGCAGGGTTTAATCCGTATATTATATTTGTTCATTCAATTTGGTCAAAATAAAAAAAAAAAAAAAAACACACATGGTAACTTCAGTTTTGTCTCAATGCAGTAACTATAATTGTTTCTAGAGAGTAATTTCTCTTAAACTAATTGTTGTAAATCAAGAAATTTCCTATGAGTTCTTAAAACCAAAAGATAAGGTGCGTGTGTTTGTGCTGGACTGAATAAGTAATCGAATATAAAATGTTCTACTGTTACCAGTAATAAACGCAATCAAACATTTACTAATGAAAATAGTACCAGTGATTTTGATACAATGTTTGACTTTGTGTTAATAAAACAACTTTTTTTTTATTCAGTAACTACTTTTCTTACCACTTCATTGCTACATTCCTTCTTTCGCAGACATTTACAATGAGACAGTCAAGAGCTGGCTCTTTAAACACAAAAAAAACTGGTCTAAGATTATTCACAGGTTCCAAACTAAACCTTGAAGTGCTTCAGTAGACAGGTGGTGAAAAAAATACATCAATATTTGCCTGCTTTCACACAAACCAACTTCATACTATCCCAACACCTCGTAAAGTCAGACACTGCCCACACCCAATGAATTTAGAGCAATCTGAGGGGTTGGCAGGAGCAGACTGCTGTATGCATTTCTCTGGTTTTGCTGACAGCTTGCCCTACTCACCTCATCTGTCTGCTGTCTATAAAGAACAGCCTTGTGGGCACGCTCAGAGCCCCACCTCCTGATCTCCAGACCTGTGGCTCTTGGACCTTCTCAGAATGATTTATACAAAATGGTTAACGTTCATTTACAATATTCAAAACAAAAATATGCCTACATTTCTTAAGTAAATCATTTAAGAAAGATTGTGACAAAGCAGAATGCTGTTTCACCTTACTTAAAGTGTGCTTCTCAGGAAATTGGATGCTACATTAAGAAATGGAGCTCATGATGTTGGGAGTCTATTTGTATGAGAAATGTTACACCTTCTCATCCAAGTTTAGTTTAATAATTGCAATATTTATTATAACGCCAGCAATGCCACTCACCTTTTCACCCATGAATGCATGCAACGCAATGTAGACTAAATATTTGGTTTGAAATGTGAGAGCCTATTTAAAAACTATACGGCCCTAAAATTGTGTCAGGCCATAAAATTGGACAAACACCACCTCAGATGTCTGACTATTCAAGTCAGACAAATTTTACAGTGTCATTATTTATTTAATAAAAACTGAAAATGCACTAAGAGATGAAGGGTCTCTTAGTGCTTTGGAAATAAAGCAAGAGGCAGCCTGGGGCTGTTGGCGAAATACAGTTGATAAACAGGTCAAAGGAGAACATGATCACTTCTGTGAAAGCTGAACTTTTGTGGAGATGCATCTCTGGAGTGCTCAGCTGTTTGGGAATGAAATGGCGAGGATGAGAGACAAGGGCAATGATTCTAAACAAACAACTCTCACTGCACATTAATCTGGGTAGAGTTACAAAAGTTTTTTCAAAAAGTTGGGACCCAGAGCTGTTCCAAAATCCAAATCAGCTTTTTCACATGAAATGCAAGGCATTTATACTACCTACAGCACTGCACAGCTACAGATCCAAATAGTTATCTTTAGATCTATTTCAGCACATTAACATTTAAAACCGTATCCATTATACTCAACAATTGCAAGGCTCAACATGCACAAAAAAATACTGCTAATAATGGCAATGGATATGTAAAATTAATATGGCATATTTACCATTTAAAAAATATTTTGTAAATATGTTGTCTTTAAAGTACCGTCTTCTATTGTGTATTGTAGGTTTATTTTGTTCTGAAACAATCAGAACAATCAGTTCAGTTCGAGAGATAAACGGAGGTTATTATTGTGAAGCTACAGCAAACATGAACCAGTTGTCATAAGTCAATAATAACCATCGGTCCATGAATGCCCTAGGTAAATAAATTAATCAGCCTATAAGAGGAGAATGTACACATTTCTGTCAAAGCAGCAGTCTCTTGCTGACTTACTGTAAATGCTTTCTCAGTGATGGCATTTAATAGAAACAAACTTAGAAGCTTCTGGCAATTCCTTTAGGGCACGTACTATGAAGAAACATTTTACGGAATCCACACGAGAACCCAATTCAAGTCTAAGTCAACTATAGTCTCTACAATGTGGGAAAAAAATAAAAACAAGCCATATTCAAGTCAGAAGCATATTTAACATGGCAAGTTCAACCAAATATCATATGTGCAATGTGCCATGATAATTCATTTAAGGGCCTGCGGTGTAGCGGAAGAATGAGTATTCCATATACGAAGGAAAGTTGTCCTCAGCACAGCTGTCTGTGGTTTGGTTGCCGATTCTCAAAACTTAGATGCATGTTTTTTCCACTTCTCTCTGTATATTTCTTGTCTGATTGCTGTTGACAAAGACCACTTGTGACACAAAATCCTGTCAATTAATTAAGAAAAAAAAGCACAAAAATCTCATTTTAAAATAAAAATAAAAAAATTAAAAAAATTGGGAATGAAAAACTACGTTTCTTAAAACATCTTTGTGAAGACCAAAAATGGAGAAAAATAAATAAATCATCAGTGCAAAAACACGGTGGCAACTTTTAGCAAAGGCTTTTTTTATTGCGAAAGAATCTGAGGACTTTTGTGTCTTTCAAACAAACTATGACTTCACTCTATAGAAAAACATTCTAAAGTCAAAACCTAAGGCATTTGTCAGAGCTGAAACCAGGCTCCTTAAAAAGATAATGTTTGCATTCAAAAAGCAAATTTACAACAGTAGGGGTATAAAGAAGGAATTAGGACTCCACAATGCTCCATTTCTGAACTCTGCTTGGGTGAAACTTGGTGGCTGGAGGATAAAATGGGTATGCATTTATAAGTTTAGAAATGTCTTACTTAAATGAAGTAATACTCTAATGAAGAGTGAACCAAGGCTCTTCCACAGAATTGTGAAACACTGAGCTGGCCAGTCTTTCACTGGTCATGCAACAAATAACCCTACCACTAACACTATTAAAACCAGACGTAATAAAACGAACACATCATAATGTATGCTTCTGCAACACTCTTTCGCTGCCTCACCCAGCTGGAGCCAAGTTAGCCAGGATTTACGTAACCCAGTCACAGAGTCTCCATTAATTGCTGAAAGTGACACCGTGCACGGTTATTATATGATTACGACATGACAGCTCTCGTTTTTCACTATTAAAAGGGAGACAAGCCTGTGCTCAGCTGCAATAGGGTTTCAGTATATGTAAGAAGGAAGAAAGTATGATCACTTTTTGACATTCTTTAAAATTAAAATGTATAATAAAAGATTTTGTTGAAAAACATATATATATATATTGCATTGTTTTAATGTGTTTTGAGAGACATTGGTCTTATTTTCAATCAGAAACAAACATTATTATAATTTCAAATCTAACTCTGACAGGGCAATGAAAATGTTGGTGTAAACTATGAGTAACTTTGCACGGGATTTTCTGTCAACATTGTCTCAAAGTAACCAAGTATACTTTGAGACAATGTTGAACAGCTACATAAAAGGTCTGTTCTAATATTAACTGCACATCAGAACCTGCCCTGTGCTTCCATATTTGACTGTATTCCTGACCTCTGTAGCAGTCCTTTAGGTGGAGTATAGTTTTGTCAGTGCAGGTATCCTCTTGGTGATTCACAAAGTTCAATTTATGATGAGAACTGGTGTATCATCACATCCAGGTCTTGGGCAGATGGCAAAACCAGTGGGTGTCTTTGGACCAACTGACTTTAGAAACCTTAATCTAAAAGTTATTACACACTTGATAATTATTTCATTTTCTTATGACTGAGAAGCAAATTTAAGAGTAGTCATGTACTAATTTTCAGTAGGGTAAAAAAAGGAAAACTTGTCTTCTGGCCTTTTCTCCATGCCATCACAAAATTCAACTATACTAGTAAGAGAATGAAGCTAGAGAACTTTTGTACTACTGTGTTGTTTTTATAGAATAACCTGACAAATGTTAAAGGTCAGACTAACTAAAGATAAAAGTAACTGACCCCAATCAGAAGGACTTCCTCTATACTCCTCTGGATTCAGTCATTCAGAGGGATTACATGCATGCATCTGCATGGGTCTGTGTAGGATAAATGATGTCTCAGAAGCCAGGGTCATTGTGCTCTTCATGTAACCCAGTAACATCCATCTTAGGCCGCCTGGAGAGATGAAGTTTTTCACTATGGAGTGGGCTGGCACACAACTGGGTGGGGGTGTAGCAGTGAGGTTGCTGAAGTGCAGAAAGACAAGAAGCAGATCAGAGTTTGAGAGGTTAAGCCCAAACAATCGCAGCCATTTTGGATTACATCTGCCTGCACACTACAAACATGGCCCTGAATTTTTAAAAACTTCATAGATAAACTTTTAGTTAATCTATGGTAATATGGAGTTTATCTTACATTTATGCTGCAAAACAAGATTTTTCATTTTTTAATTTTTAACCAATATGTAGACATCTGATTACAACTTAAAACCAACAATTATTTGACAAAAATTACTGAATCGCAATTGTTAAAAAATATTATTATGTTTACCAAGTCTTTCTGAATGAAGTTTAAAGAAGATTTTGACACAGTGCAGAAAGAAGACTGCATGTCTTTTAAAGGTACAAAGGCACCTGGCAAGCTAAGGCTGGAAGACACATACCAGACCTTTACTTAAAAGGCCATGTCAGGGGTTAAGTGGTCATGGAAAAGGAGGCAGAGAGCCGCCGCTAAAGTTATTAGACAGCATAGTTTCTCTCGTCAGCAGGTGGGAGGTGAGATTTGCTGTGACGAGCAGGTGCTGCTCAGGGCCAGAGATCACAGCTGAACGCTAGGCTGTGATAAGCCCTGTACACCACTTAAATTACACCACCACCACCACTTTGACCCTGCATGCTTTGGACAGTGTTATGAAGAGAAAGTGAGAACGTTGGGAGTCAAAGTGTGAGAAAAAAAAAAAAAAAAAAAAAAAACTTAGAGAAGTGGATACACACATAAGTGCAACTGTATGGCCTACACACAAAATAGGTCAATAAAGTGTACATTATACCTGAAAATTGGATTTATTTTAGTAATTTATTAAGATTCATTGGAAAGAGATTGATTCATCGATAAGTATGAATCAATGATATTGTTATAAATTATTATTTATAACAATAATGATTGAGGATCATTGCTAATTAAAGCTCCAAATTCTGTTTCTCAGGAAATCACATTAACCCACATATCAATAAAATAAAATAATAAAAAAAAATATTTACAGATGTCATGGCCTAGATAATTATGAAGAACAAAGTAAGATGAAGCACAAGGTCCTTGAAGAAGTTAGTTACCTTCAATATTGCAATCCTCTTCCAAAACAGAGAATGTGATAGAGATGATGTGCCATGTCAAATGGTGGTGGTGTTGCAATATATTTTCTTAAATTAAAAATCATCACAACCATCTGCCTGGAAATTTTGGAGTACTTTGTTCTTCCCTTTGCTGACTGAAGTTTAACAACCTTGTTTATTGACCATGGAATCACTGTCCTTGATTGGTCAGCAAACTCGTTTGACTTGACCCCCATAGAGAATCTATGGGGTATTGTTGAGGGGAACCTGGGAAACGCCAGACCCAACAATCCAAACAAGTTGAACCAGGCTACTAAAGCAAACTGTAAATCCCACAACAAAGTCAAAGGCTGATTTTGGACATGCCCAGCCACAATGATGCAGTGATTCACTCAAAACAATCCATATTAGGTATTGACGGATATACATAATAGTACTTTTCAGGAGATTGATATTTCTGTATTGAAAATCCTTTTTTTTTACATTAATGTTGAAAAAAAAAACCTCGGAATTCTGTGATAAAATAAAGTATGAGTTATCCGTAGTTTTAAGCAATAGAAAAACATTTTCAGAAATGCTTCAAATACATTCATCTTTGAGTAATTACATTCATCTTTGTGTTACATTTTAGAAGAATTACTCCAATTACTGCAATAAATTAATTATTTTTAATAATTTAGATTTACAGAGTTGCATCTTTACAGTGTACAAGTTCAGAAAGGATTTACAGCTGTGTGTGTGCAGACCTCTTCATCCTTTCATGTCATTTTTCTTCAAACATCAGCTGTGGTTGTTGATTTGTCTGTACAAAACCTCAAGGTATGGGGGTGGTAAAATAATGTCAATGAAAACAGTCAACAGAGGCCTGTGTGGTTTTCTTAAAATAAAGGCGTTCATCCTAAAACTGGCATCAAGTCGTGGATTTCAAACTCTGATTCTTTGAGTTGAACCCAGCTTTGACACATGTTAACGACACACTGCAGAGAGAAAGGCAGCATAAAGGGCATGCTATGGGATGAAAGTGGCAGAGTGAGAAGGTGAGGAAAGAGCAGAGGCGGATGAATTTATTTGATGATTACCTTTTTCTAATCTCAGATGCCCTGGAGACCTCAGCACCCGCTGCACTTCCTGCAACTCAAAATGATAAACAAACAAAAAGAGGCATGAGAGTCGGGGAATGAAAGTGTAAGGGAGCAGAAGCACGAGGAGCTTTGAGGATTCGGCGAGGTGAAGTATTGATCATCCATTGACAAACACAATAGAAATTTTAGATGTGATGTGAGAGGGCCCCTATTCATAATTCATCAACAAGCCAAATGTGAGGGACGTGGGGTGTGGACAGAGGGAAGCACTGAGTATTGATTACTAGACGGGTGTATGGAGTGGTACAGGGTGGGGGAGTCTCCAGATAGAAGAGAAGCCAGGAAGGTAGAGTGGATGTAAAAAAAAAAAAAAAAAAGATGGGTATAGCAGTTGCTGAGAGAGGGGAAGGGGGTCTAGAAGGAGCAAAGGAAAGCCATTAAGGACGGCAGTGTTACCAGACACTGGCAGTGACAAAGAGTGCAAAGCAAAGATTGGAGGAGAGGGAGAAACCAATGTTAGCGAGAGGTCAACACACATCACCCACCACTAACACACCGCCTTTACGCCACACTCCTACTGTCTCCCTGCGCCACCCAAATCAATATCACCATGTCAAAACATAAAATGCATGCTTTTGCTCTTAAGTAAAAGGTGTCTAAGATTTTTAAAAGCATTGATTCTGTGATGGGTCGATGGGAATCAAGGCATATTTTCCTGTGCAGCGAGGGGTAATAACACTCAGCTGGTAATGGCACAACAGAGGGAATCCGACCGTGTCTGTATAAGAGTGCACTGGTCAGATTACGGCACTCCGCTCCACCGGGAGAGGTCACAGTAAAGGGGCAGGTCAAGGATTTGATCTGTCTGTACAAACTGTCTCTTAGAATTGTCAATTGGGAAGCCAAGCAATGAAGGATGAGCTGATAGGACTTGACTTTCTCTGGGGTCCTCACCAGAAACATTTTACACGTTAAAGTGAGGAGTACCTAAAGCAGAAGTTCTAACAGTCTTCGACCAGGGAGAATGTGTACTAAAACACAGCTGATCAGAGCAGACGATTCCTCTTTGACTGTGTCTGCCGAACCGTTTAGGTGAAATATTGTAAACCATATCATGTTCAGCTAAATCCTTTTCCTCACTACTAGAAACTAAGCTCAATGCTATGACACCTCTGCAACTTTGCTCTATGCCTTAAATAAAAGTCAGTGTCAAATGGTAAAATGAGTTTGAGACAGGAAGGTCTTTAGTGATTTAAGGAGAAAGAAAATAGTTTTCTTCCCCAGTTAGGGACCATCTGGACCAACACTTGGGACACTACAATTGCTACTGGAGAGCCAAACCGGCTTCAGACAAGGTACAAATAGAGACAGCCAGAAAAACACAAAGAAGTAAAAAAAAAAACATGTTCCACAAATAGAAGCTACCAACCACAAGAAGGGCACAGCCAGACACACAGCCATGTATCCAGAGTTCTCCACTGGTTAGCACAGCTGCCAGCTGATGGAACATTAAGTAAATAGCCTTATTCCTGAGTACTTCCATTGAACTCTTATGAGTTCAAGATCAGGCAAACATAGATGACTGAGTATTACTGTGACAGGAAAAACAAATAAATGACTAAAAGCTGATCAACTAGTTTCAAATCTTTTGAAACTCTAGTTCTAACCTGAAAAAAAGCCCAGTTGGGAAAAAGCCAGTAATCATCACTCTCTCACAATTTAGTTACAATATCTGTATTTGTTTGATCATAAAAATTCCCAAGAATTTTTTTCTTTTATGGTTTTTCAGTTATTTGGACATGTGGTCAGTTGTCTTATGCTTCGTGTCCTACTTGGTGCCAAATTCATGATGGGTATTACCAAGATATTCCAAAAGGTGATCTACAAGCTAGAACAAAAGGTGTGTGTGTGTAAAATGTCCCCACCAGCTGAGACAGGTCTGTGGAAACTGCACACCAGGAGTGATCTAGTTCAAGCTCCATGAGTTAGCCACCCAATTTTTGTTTCTTTAAGTTTCTATCAGAACCCAGAGTGTAGACAATAGTTTGATTCATTTAATTCTTTTACTTCCAGTTCCTTTCAGATACTGGAATTTCAATTGAAGACTAGTTATTTTTGGCTTGATTCTAAACCATTCTAACCCACAGAAATATGCACAATTATTTTTAAAATTTGAAATCAGGGATTATTGAGTGAAAAGCAAAGAAATAACCCTCAAGGCACATTTTTCATAGATCACATTTGATTTGTTAAGATCAAAATTATTCAATACCGTAGCAGATTTAGATATAAGTAATCTTAATTTGACCACTATGTTTCTCCTGACTTAAAGTAACTAATGCTTTGATCCAACAATGATTTTGACAGCATGTAACAGAGAATCTGTAGAGGGATCAAAAGGTCATACGGTAAGGTACCAAGCCTTCCAAACTCTAAGACAGTCTGACAATGACTGTGATGTCATTGTCAGAAATAAACATCAACATACCAGTAGAAATATGCAAATACTCATGGACTTTATTTTGGTTTTGTTTGTATTTACTTCTAATTCATGTAAAGCAATTTTAACTTCCTTGTTGTTTAAAAAGTGCTAAAATTACCTTATCTATCTTACCTTGTCTTTAAATTCCAACAAAAAAGCTGCTGTTCCTTTTACATTTTTATCTGAAGACAAAGACAATAGTGATAATAGTTTTACACTGAAGGAAATGAGTAGTTGTGTGCTTCATTTTAAGATTGTTATTAAAGATAAACAAAGCATATATCCTCGACAATCCAAATGTGTTCCTTTGAAATTATAATAATAACAACTGGTGCATTTCACATTTATTAGGAAAATAGCTTTCTGTGTATCTTGCTTTTCTAATCAAAGCCTATGTAAAGTTTCAATCAAAAGCATCTTTTAACAGTTAAGTTTTTTATAAAAATTATCAGCTGAGATATCGTTCCTAAAGGTGATGGCATACAGCTCATTGGTATACTGTAATATCTGTGATCTTATGCCATCATCCACATTTGTTAAATATTTTTAAAGTTTTAAAGTCTCAGAATTACAAAGCAAGAAAAGTCAACTGAGCAAGTTGTGGTGGGTGGTTCTGTTGTAACTGACAGTTTGCCAAGGTAGTGACAGTATTTGCTGTAGCCTCAGCAGAACCTGTGTTCTCCCGGATAACCAACAGTCTCTCTCAGTATCAGGGCATGCTGTAACTCAAGAAAGACCACAGATTAATCTTTAAACTTAAATGACAATACCAACATCGTTGAGTCACTAAGGTCCAACATGACCATATCTCTGACGCATGATGTGAAGACAGTGGGCGGGTTGGTCATTGGGTTAGTCTCATGCCTGTTTGTGGGTGATCTGTTGTCAGTGTGGCACACGAGAATGTGGGAAATTAAAGCCGGCAGGAAGATAATCTGGTCACCAGATCCAGGCTTGGGGGAGGTGCTGACAGCCGTGCTGCTCTGCCGTGTGTCATATGAGGAGGAGGGCCAAATGGCAGGTGACTGACTCACTCCCTGTTAATGGACAGATGACCATATTAGTAAAAACAATTCAGGAGAAGGAAAAAGTAAAGAAACAGAATGAGGGGACCCAATGAGAGAATAAACAGACAGCGTCATGATTTTCATTTGATACCTTGTTTTATCTGTCTCTTGAAAAAGTGGGTTGGATGTGAAGTGATGAAGTAGCAAGAGAAAAAGGAGCTCCTCAAGTACAATCTGCAGTAGACAAGGAGGAACTCTGCTGGTGCTCCAGCGACACTGTGTGAAGCCAGCAGGTATGGAAACAGGTTGACACATCCATGTGTTGGTGCAGAAATGCATAAGAACATGGTGTGCCAGCAAGTGTGTGTGCCTGTGCATGTGTATTTAACAGCTTAATCAATTACCTAACCACTTGCCAAAGAGAAAACATGTCTTTTCGTTTTCCAACATGTTTCCCTCCTTTCAGAAAATGAGTCTACAAAGATTGTTATGTTCAGAGCTCAAACAGAGAACAAAGCATTTCTCACTTCTTTTGTGCAAAAGAGACTTCTGGTGCACTATATCAAAAGCCAGAGCTGGAAGCAGAAGCAAAACCAGATGACAAGTGTCAGAACAATTAATATCTTGCATTTGCCCAATCAAATATGATAATTACCAAAAACATATAAAGAGTGCAATAGCACCCTAACACACCCATTAATTCATATCTAGCATAGATTATTTAATTGTGAACCTAGCAGATATTCTTATGTTGCTCTTTTTCATTTAAATCCTGCCACAGCAGATAGTGGAATCAAAGACTGTTTAAAAAAAATCAGGACATGAAACTCATTAGGAAAATTAAATTGTGTACATTAAATAAAGCCGCACTGAAGCAACGGTGAACATTTTGTCAGCAATGCTGGGGCATAATAAAATCAAAGAATCACAGCTTAATTGGATTGCACCTAAAAAGGATCATACTGACAAATGCGATTGTATTAAGCCATAAATGTACACACCTCCTGCGAGTCTTCCCTAAATCCAGTGAAATTGAAATATCCTGGGCTCCTGACCACTTTCTGAAACAATTAGTCACCCAGCAATATGAGAATGCAACAAGGAAGAACAAGACCGCATAGACAAAGCCAGTTGATCATCAGTTTCAAATTAACATCTCTTGTTAGTGCATCTCTCATGACTGTGTATAATGAATCTGCTTCCACTGAAATGGCTAAGTGTAGTATCAATACCCCTTTTCTCAACTAACAAACATAAATTTAAATGTTCTTTGTTAGGATTTATGAGACAGACTAGGATGAGGAAGTTCATAAATTTAACATGGGAGCAATCAGAACATGGTTTCCAAAGTTTTTTTTACAAAAAAATGATTTTTTTAGATTTACCCTCTATGAGCCCTTCAGAAGGTAGAAAAAAGAATCAACCTGTCTCCTCCTCAGGAAGAAAACTGCTCATCTCACTTTGTTTTTGCCAGATTTTTTTTCTTAGATTTTTTTTCTCTCTCCCATTTATCACTGAATGCTTCCTTAAAAGAAGGTTGTTGGATTTCTCTCCATT